AGTGTAAAGAAAAATTCTTCTTTTCTAATTTTCCTCGACCTTTAAGTCTCAAAGAGAGTGGGGGGCGGAGATGAATTCAGTTTTAGGGAAAAACCTTAGGCTACCTTTGTCTATGGCCTGTAAAACCACTTGATTGAATGATTTTCTTCCCTCCAACAAGGAACAAAAACTTAAGATTTTTAATTCTTTGAAACAAAGCATTTATAAAAGCAATAAAATGACCCCAAATAGTATTAAATTATGAATTTCCAAAGTGAATTCAAGGGTGGCTCCACACACATCAATGTCTACTTTAATTGGTTCTAAAGAATTTTTTGAGTCCAGAGAGAAATTTTTCTGATTATTTACTTTTTCCTGACTTACCGAAGTATTATAAGACATGCTGAGTTTAAAGATTGCTTTCTTATTTTTGTTCTCCTTACCAAGCAACAGTACTTGTACAATGAATGTAATTCAATCAATCCATGTAGAATTGAATAAAATTACCGACCTTAAAAGTTAAACATTTAGTAATTGGAAAGATGATATTTTATAAAGATGTATATCACTTTACAGAATAGGTTGATTCTTGAAAGTCAAGCTAATTTCTAGAAACCAAACCATATTTTCCAGCCCTAGGAGGTGGACGAACAAAAAAAAGGTTTGAATTCACACTTGTAAAAAGCTATTAAAAATCTGTAATCGTAAATTAAGGCTAAAAAAAATAACAAATATAATCTCATGAAGAAATAATGGCCAGAACCATCTTAAAATCAAGCAAACAAATGTCATACCATAAAATGGGTTCACCTTAATCCTTAGCCACATGACAAGCCATGTGTTAGGGAACTTCCTGTGTTTTCTGTTCTGAACACAGTGAAGCTCCTTAGCTATTTCATCACGATGAACATTCCCTCATTAAAGCCCCTCTTCACATACACAAAATGTTGCTAGTGCGTGAGGAAACTTTCTAATGCCGAGTGGTCTTTACGTATCCAATAATGGGTGTTTAATAATTTCTTTTGAAATACAGCTCATCGATCCATTTGTTCATTCACTCATTCAATGAAATATCTTCACAGTGCAAACTATGCACCAGGCACTATTGCAAATGATGGGAATACAGAAGTGAACAGAGCAAAAAGCTCCCTGCCCGCATGGAGCTCACATTCTAGTTCCTCAAAAAGGATTCTCTCACACACACACAGAACTCAAGAGGAAAGCTTTCTGAAAGGCTCCAATAAGCACTTTATTTGACATTTGTAATATGTTTTATTAATATCAGGAATAAGAGAAAGCATCCTGGCTAGTTTATAAATTTCCTTAAAATTTTCATTTATAGTTTTCCATTTTCCCCTCAGCTTGCACTTTCAATTTCTGACATATCCTTCAGGAGAATGAAAAAGAAAGAACTGCTGTTAAGGGCAATTTCTTGTTACAAAAAATCTCCCTCACCATTTAAAGGATTAGTTGGCACTGTAGCCTGGGCATGACCTAAACAACTGATGTTTTAGCTGGAAATGCCAATACCTGCATTTGTTGATCTATTTGCTTGGTTCTACACATATTTTACTATTCCAGTAGCTGGACTTATGCTTCCTAATCAGGATTAGTATGTAGCAAATACTATCAATATAGAGTAGACCTTCCCCTTGGCATTAGCTATGTCTAATTTTGCATGGCACTGCTGTCAGTGCAGTTACCGGCGAGATGCTCTGAAGCTTTCTTTATATTCCTGCCTCTGCCTTTACTTTCCCTAACCAGAATCCATTCCAAGCCAAGGTCAACCAATTATCACAATAAAGCTACACTCACTGGATTTAACAGGCCAGGCTGTACACTGTTGCCAAGTTCAGTGATCCTTCAGTATTGCCTGACCATCGCCTCCTTCATGTCATAACCAATGGGAATGTCACCGTCACCTACAGAATTAGCCTCCTACACTCCCACTGCCAAAGAAGTTAGGAAACTTAAAAGTATACCAAGAGTGATAAAAGATGCAAAGCTAGAAATTAGATTAACTTTGCATCAAAGGATTCAGAAAAGATTCAGGTATAATAGGGAAATCAGTCACTGGACGTATAATTTCTGCATTTCCATTTCCATAGTTACTCAACAAATATTTAATGAGTGATTATTATGTTCCAAGGAGTGTCACACAGTTGTTTCTTTTAACGGAATACACCAACACTGCTACAAAGCTGGGATGGTTAATCTTTAGACATAAGCAGTCGTCAGCTTCGTTTTGCCTTTTCCGATGAGCAGGTATCAAGAAATGGAAACACAGCAGGCTTTTAAAAGTCTTGGCGGGCAATTAGACAGAGGCATGGTTCTACGACCGGAGAAGGCCTGTGCCTTTCTCTGTTCTGCTGCCCATACCTCTCCTCTCCGTCTCTACTTCGTGACTATTGTTTTCTCTTCCTCATTTGGCATCCTTCCCTAACTCACCATAATACAGCACTGGAATGTTTGCCTATTATTTGTTGTATTTATTGAATTATGTGCCCATTTTCTATGTAAAAGGGAGACCAACAGAACAATTCATGTTTCTTTCCAAACAAAAAAGTCTTTTGTTGCTTTTATTTTCAAGACATTTCTTGAATTTTCTTTCAGAGAATCTTTATCCATTAATTCAATTAACTGAAAACTCATTTTGGTAATTACAGATATTCCATTAAGAGTGAATCAATAACCATTTCTACACACAAGAAAAGGAATACAAAGTTAATAAACCACAAATGCAAATGGTAAATAAATATTTCATGGACAAAGTAAATAAAAATCTATCCAAATTATTTCAACAAAAAATGGAATAGAAATAAATGTACTTAAATCAAGAGTTCTCATTTATCATTTCTACACTGAAAATAAGGATTTTCTACCAAGAATTTTATCACAAATGAATTTTATCAAAAGATCACTTCATATTTTCCATTTTACAATTTCTCTTTAGCAGTTACTATGAATTATAACCACTTACGTTTCCAGAAATTAAATGGCTTCCTAAAAATTCTATATAATTCCCATTACATCAGAATGTCATAGTATCTTTACCACACAAAAAACTATAATGAATAACTTATTCTTTATTTGTCATCTTTCTACAGAGATGATCACGTCTTAGCCTCACCAGAAAAGTACACACATTAAATACAATGCTTTAATAAACTACTGGTCAAACTATTATGTTGCAAGTAGGACTAGAACATGATATCACAAATTAAGTCATTAATTCCAAAACAATAGTTTATTAACAAAAAAGTACAAAGAAGTACAAATGGACATCCTCTTTCCTCTATTATGGGCCATCTATCTAGCTCCCTTTTAATTCATGGCATGATCTTTGGAAGCTGTAAGAATGGATGAGATTTTTCTGTTTCCAACTGGTCCTAATATCCATCCAGAAACAAATCATCATGCATTTAAGTTATACAGTTGTCAATTTTAAAAGATTTTTAATCTATGAGTTGGCATAAAAGCCACTTCCCTCGCAATGGTACCATGTTACTAAACGGAATGAAACATCAGCGTCAACATCCATAAATCATGTTTAGACATCGGATATATCAAGTCACTAGTATGTTTGCGTTCAAGTAACAGGTTACAAATCAGTTTAAAGGTGTCAAAGTGATTTTAATAGACATTTACCAAAAACACTTCAGTCAAAAACATCTTAAATGTATTAAATTGAGGTATGTAGAGAGCATTCAGCTTGTGCTTTTTGCACTGACTAGAAATCACAGCTAATCACAATTCTAAACTGCTATTATTTCAATTTTCTTTAAAAAGATTTACTTTTCCTTTTGTAATTTCAACAAACCTAGTATTGTCCCCTAAGGAACCCTGGGGTCATTATTGGGTAAACATCCGTCTGCTAACTGCAAGGTCGGTGGTTCATAGCCACCTGCTCCTCCACAGGTGAAAGATGAGGCTGCCTGCTCTGATAAAGATCTAAGGCCTCTGAAACCCACAGAGACAGTTCTATGAGTCAGAATTTGACTGAGTGGCACTGGGTTGTTTGTTTTTTCCCTTGGGGGGCGGCGGGGTTAAGATTGGTCCCTGTTCTCTCTACAGACCTGATTATATTTCTGTGAATCATGGTAAACACAAAAAACTTTTGTGAGTCTCTCACAGTGATTCTCTCTTTAAAACACTGATATGATGGGGATTTAGTAAAGTGTAATGTTCAGTAAATAATGCCTTACTTGCTATATTTATTATGGCTCTGAAGACAGAACATATGGTTTTGTCATGGATGATTCAAAAGTCTGTACAGAATTCTTTTGGGGGTGGGGTGGGGAGACAAGGAGTGGGGAGTGGTAAGCTCCAGCTACTTGGTTTGTGAAAAGTCAGGCCAGGGAATCACCACTCACGTGTTATATCTTGCCTGGAGCTTATTCTCATGAAGGGCATGCGTTCAGTGTTAGATTAGGCTATAAGAACATAAGGAAGGCTGCTATACCAGGGAACATTTTTTTAGGAGCTTGAAAATTCAGATGACCACTCACTAAACATAAAATCATCATTCCACAAAGATTTTATTCACATAAAACTTGCACAGTAGCAAAAAAACAAAAATGAAAATAAATGAAAACATAACTAAGCCACATATCAAATAACAATATACAATAAAAATGTGAATTTGTCGATGGCATTGGGAAGAAGGTATTCCATAAATAACATTTACAATTCTAAGTTAGGTCTTTCAAGGTGTCTGAAGCTTCACAGTGCTAGACTTGGTTTTTATCAGAACACATGCAAAAAATGTGCAACACAATCCATGTGAATGACACAAAAAGCACGCCAGTTATTTGTCACTCCAGCACGGCCATGCCACTATGTGTCTAGAAATAAACAACCCCCCAGATCCGGGTCCCATTCATTCTTCAATTATGCCTTTAGTCACTGCTTTATTATATTCAAACAGTCACTGTTAGTGCTCTTCACCACGACTTTCAGGTTGACGTCACTCCCTGCCTGCTGGCTGTCAGGACTGGGGGACGCCCCTCTCCCAGACTCACCTTCTTCCGGATGTCTTCATCGTTGGCTCCCAGAGAGGCATAGAGCTTGAATGCAGCCTGGCGCAGTTCGTGAGCATGCTTTAAGTCATGATCAAGCTACGAAAAGGGAAAAAAGACACAATACAACTCAGAGCGCAAATTAAAATGTCAATTTAACTTATCAAGTAGAGTTGAAGAAAAAATAGTTAACAGCTCTTAATAAACTTAGTACAGTAACTGAACTTCCCAATTATTTGGGGTTTTGTTCACATGACTGAGCCTTGACTTGTTTGTGTCTACATTAGCACCACCTGAAATGCATTCATTTCTGTCTAAAAGGTAGCACTGTAACATTTGACATCGACATATGCAATGGCTCAGCAAAAGCTCGCTGTTCTCAGTGGCAGTTTTCTGGGACCTGATACTGGACCACATTAGCTCTCTGGAGTGCTCTCCTCAAAAGGGAGGCTCTCCTAGGCTTTCCAGCCCCAGCGCAGCTGGTTCCTTTTGAGTGCTGCTGCCATGTTGACATGTCTGCCCTCAATTTCTCCAACATTAGAAAGCTGCAGTGCACCCAAGAAAATGCTTTGTCAACAATCTTTATCACAAGCAACATTAAAGGAAAGAATGTAGAATAAACAGCTAACATAAAAACGTGGCCCTGCACAAAAGAATGAAGTATAAATGATATACAGATAAAATATAATCATAAAAATAAAACACATGTGTTCTCAAGACACTCCCAGTGACTGACTATAGATCAGTAAATATACAACTGACATCGCCAGTGACATTAGCAATCCTGTAACTGAGAGTCATAATTTACTCATCCAAATGAACAGTGTTTTCTCCACAGGCTTTACCTTCGAGAGGTTCACTCTTACCCGATGATGTAAGTGCTATTCATAACATTTTGAGACCTTTTTTGGAAACTTCCTATGGAGTTAAATGGCATATTTGCTAGAAAACCATAGCTGTAGTGTATCTTTATCAACTAAGGGAATTTTAAATTCATTATCTCTGATTGCAGTGTATAAAGATGGGAAAACACAGTTGGGTAAATATCATTTAAAGTAGAGTAAACATACAATTACAATTAAAAATTTATAAACTATCAAGGGCTCATGGGGG